CGATTGACCATGCATCAGACATCTTATCCGACATGTTACTCCAGATGATGAGAACTTCTTATCTCAACATGTCTCAACATAAAATAGTACTTCTTGCTCAACATGTTCTTTTTAGAAAGATCAAATATCCTATTTAACATATTTCTTATATATTTATTTTACTAAAATTAATGTTAATCCTAAAAATAGAGAACTAAAAACTCCCATTCCACTTTCTTTAATACTTTGTTGAATTGTCTCCCAAGCAACACAATAATATCAGACATCCCTTCTTCTGTATCCGAGTCATACTTATCTTTTGACTCATCAATGTTAGATATAAAGACTATGCTCTTCTTCTTTTCAGATTTACCACTAATCCCTAACTCAAACGTTTGTAAGGATCCCATGAGCTCATCAACCTTCATGTTGTTTATGTCTTGAGCTTTTCAATAGTAGTAATCTTTATGTCAAATCTCTTCCAAAGAGATCTAAGAATATTTCTCACCAGCTTGGCTTCTGACATCTTTTCCCCTAGGGTACCTAAGGCATTTTTTATATCAATGATATTCATGTTAAAGTCATGAATACTTTCATCCTCTTTCATTCTTAAGTTCTCAAACTGAGTAGTAAGAGTTTGGATTCTTGACATCTTTACCTCTGAGGTTCCTTCATGAGCAGTCATCAAATTCTCCCAAGCTTCTTTAGCAATAATATAGTTTCTTATCAGTTTGAAGATGTTATTGTCCACTCCATTGAATAGGGAATTTAATGCTTTGGAGTTTCTCTCTGATGATTGTTCATCGGCATCATTCCAATCTTCCTCATCCTTCACAACATCGGTCACCTTCCCATCCTGACCTACAACCATTGGTGGATCTCATCCCTTAACCACAACTTTCCAGGCCTTGCCGTCTATGGACTTGATGAAAGCCACCATACGAACTTTCCAATAACCATAGTTTGTTCCATCAAGAACTAGTGGTTTGTTCCCGAATCCTCTTTCCTTGTTTATTGTACCAGAAAGTAACTTCCCTGAATCTAACCCAGAGTCAGAGTAGGATGCCTACTCTGATACCAATTGAAATTCTAGTATTCAGATCACAGATGTCCTAAAAGACGTCAAGACACCTTTTTCTGAATTTGCACACAATGAATAATATGAACGATAAACACAATGCAGAAAAATAAAAAACACACAAAATTGTTAACCCAGTTCGGTGAATCAACACACCTACTCTGGGAGATACCAAGCCAGAGACCAAGTTAACTAGATAGTATCAATTCGTAGACCCATATCAAACTTTCACGTAGTTTACAATCTAGTCACTTAATCACTACACGTGCTTAACTTTTACCTAAGACTCACCTAGGTATGAGACTCTTCTCAAATCCCTTCCAATCATCGACCAGTGGTCGAACAATTCTAAACACTTAGAACAAACACTGAAGTCACACTTCAAAGACACGCCATCATTCGCTGCTTTAAAGCTTTGGAATGATTGATGGAACTTATAACTCAAAAGTACATTCCTACTCTTTCATCAATATGATAATCGAGAGGCTCACAGTAAGCATACAAACCCTAATAAAAATACACAGTAAGTTCCACACTAAAACTAGATTAGTGACATTCTAGTTAAAACCATCCTCTGGATTGGATTGGGTTTTACAATCACAGCAAATCATTTTCTAAAACTCAATAAAATCTTCTGCACACATTAGGGCTTCAATAATTAGTTTCCTAAATTATCTCCTAATTTAGAAACTAAGAATATTAATTGTATTCAGCTAGAATCTTTATCAATCTTCAACTTGCACGCCACATGAGATAACATAATATTTCCATAATATTCAACTAAAATATCCAACAGTCCAGTTGCATAAAATCACGATGTCGAAAGAACTTGCATAGGACATTGCATTCGACATGTTGCTTCAATTGATAGAACATATTCATTCAACATATTTCTACTAAGTTCCTTTTACCAAACATAATGCCAACCACGGAAATAGAGAATTAACATAAATATCCACCCAGAAAGCTTCATCTACATCTTTTGAAGGTGTTTTAATGTTTATAGAAGCTTGAAGCTCCTTGCAAGTACCAACTCTAATCCATGATTTTCAGACCTTGAAGCTTCACTTCGAAAAGGTAGTTACGAGTAAAATTCTTGAGCAATCGAGTTACCACTCTCTTCGTCTTGCTTCACTGATCAAAAACCCTCACTCACCTTGAATTATTCTTCATATTTGAAATTTAATTTTACTTTGAAGCAAGTAGGGTTACTGCATTTTCTGCAAAATTCTCTTTGCTCAGAACAAATAAATTGTTCTGAAGCAAAGACACATGAACGACGATGTTAGTTAAAGCTAAAATATGTGTTGTTTAAGCTTAAAATACTAGTTCATTGATCTGCAAAAATCACGAAGGCTGGAGGTAGACGATGACACGTTGCTTAACCGTTGCAATTTTAATTTCTTTTTGTTTTAAATTGATTTTTAAATGTTTTAAAATTCTCTGATTTATTTCTTATAGCTCCAAAAACCTTTTTAACTCCAATTTTGTTTCTTATATATATTTAGAATTTAAAGGTTCTGTTTATCATTTTTTGCTATTTTCCTTTATTTTCTTTTTAATTAACTTCAAACAGTTATTTATTCATCGTTTTAAAATATTTTTTAGTCCAACTTTTTAGATCTTGATCCTTAGAGATTTCCTGACCTTCTTAAATTTTTGTGGCTTTTTATTTGATGTTTTGATGCATTATTTAAATTTTCTCTTTAATTTCCATTTTTGAACCATTTTAAAATCATTTTAAATTCAATTTAAATATTATTTTGATTGTTCTTGATATTTGATGGTTCTGACTTTTGGTTGACTTGGTAAATTATGGTTGATTGAAGCCCATCTTATTCAATTGGACTTTGGATTGGACCTTGATGAACTTTCATCATTTCAAATCTATCATTAAATGATCATTTGATCATTTTTGGTACTTTGGATTGATGATAAATTTGTCTCAAGGTATCATGAAGAAGATGAATTGAAGTAATGATTAAATTCCCTTACCTTAGTACTTGATCCATTCTCTGTATCTTCTTCTTCTTCTTCTTTATTTTGTTTTGACATGTGTTACATTAATTTAGGATAATTACTTCTTTAAATTCTGGCACAACAAGACATACATCGTATACGATGTCACGACACCAGGATGTCAAACTCAATGCCAAGCACAATGTTAAGACATCCTAACAACAGACAGAATAATAAACATGTTGAACTAAAGAATAGTAAATAAAAACACAGATACTTGTTAACCCAGTTCGGTGCAACTTAACCTACATATTGGGGCATCCAAACCAGGAAGGAAATCCAATATAATAATATTAGTTTGAAGTTTTAAACGACCTCTGGTTTTACAAACTTCGCACATAATCACTATCTGTGCTATTTCTATCTAAGACACTCCTAGATATGAGACCCTCTCACTTCTATTCAATCACACAACAATAACAATAAATAGAAGACACACTTCCAATGAAACTGAATCCACTTTTGCTTAAAAGCTTATGAGTGATTCACAATTACAACTCAAAACTCAATCCAACTCTAATAGCTTCTTCAAACACAATCTTCTTCATACCTTTGAGATTCAGATATCTAGGTTTCTGGTGCCACAACTTGACTTCATCTTCCTTGGACATTAAACTTGTGGATGAGCAAGTAGTTTCTTGTGGTACCCATAAACAAAAATTATCTTTAGACCTAACTCCCCTCATCAGAACATCATTCTTCTCATTGGTACCGAAACATTCAGACTTGGTAAAATTTACTTTTAAGCCTTGATCACATAACTGACTAACACTAATCAGATTTACAATCAATCCTTTCAAAAGAAGAACATCATCTAGTCTAGGAAGTCCAGTACAGGCTAACTATCCTACTCCTTTAATTTCATCTTTAGCTTTGTCACCAAATGTGACAAAATTGGAGGCATAAGACTTAAAGTCCATAAATCCTTCTTGACCCCTGTTATATGTCTAAAACACCCATTATCAAAGTACTAGTGTTCTCTAAATGAAACTCTAAATGAGGTATGGGCTATGAGACTTATTGACAATCTTAGGCTTCCATTCCTTTCTAGCTTTAATCACCACATGATTAGCTATAGGTTGTGTTAGATGATTTGGATACTCGTACAATGTATAACATAAAGACTTTATATGACCATCAAAGATCGACCATAAATGCTCTTTCAATCACACATATGAATCAAAGATCGACCCATGTAAGAGTTGGACCGTTATATCCTATCCGACCCACTAGTACATCCAAATTGTTTATGTCTCTTTGAACTGTTCACTTACATGGGCGGGCTAATCCAAGTCAGAGTTTATAGCCCAACCGAATCAATTATTCAAAAAAATACAAATATCAACTGGTTATCAAATATGATTATCTATACTTTTAAAAATGGCATTACTAACATAGATTCTTAGGACACATTAAACATTAAAATTTTTAATATTGTACATGACTTTATTAAATACTTAAACTTTATTTTTTTTATATTTTTAACACAAGTTTTTATTTGTAACTTGTTTTAAATTATTGATAAACACAGATTATAAAAAATAGATAAAAAATAAATATATAAAAATATATAAATGAAAATATGAAGTTGACACCGTGGAGTGATGATAAAAAAGCTATGCTAATATGTGGACTCTTATTTAAATGGAACATAAAAAATAAAATAAAAATCAGTAAATGCAAAATTATAGTTTGGTTGCGTTTGAGTAACTTCTTCTACCTCGCTCTTCTCAAATTCAACTACGCTTTCGTTCCCCTCCTTATCTCTCAACTACTTTATCCTCTTCATCAAAATTCAAAATCCCAATTCATTTTTTTGACCTAATTTCTCTCGATAGAACCAGCCAATTTCATGAAATTCATCAATCCCTATTTCCTTAGGTGAGATTCAAATCCAATTCGCGGTTTGAATTTGAATTGATTGATGTCTGGTTCTTCTGATGAAGAGATCTCAAACGGTAATCGCGAGGGTTACCAAAGAGGGGGTAGTGACGGCGATGACGATGAAGATGAAGAAGAGGATCGGAAGAAGAAGAAGAATCGTGCTAGAGTTGATTTTGGTTATGGAAAGAGGTTGGTACTACGGCAATTTACGAATGCCAAGAATCAAATTCGGAGAGTTAGAAGCAGAAAGGTGGTGATTGTTCATGGTGATGCTAATCCGAATGGATTTGGTTGTAAGTTTTGTTTTTCGCGTCCTAGTGTAATTGAAAATTCTGATGGGTCTCCTAGTAGTGACCCTAATGATCCGAAATTTACTCATTCTATGATGAAGAGTTTGATAGAAAAGAATGATTTTAGTTCCAAAGAATGCAATCCACATATTGAATTATTAAATGAATGATTAGTATGGTTGGAGAGTGTTTCGATTCAATTTTCGTTTATCAACAAAATGTTGATTTTGTTTTCATGTGCTGTTTGGGATTATCTCTTTGTTAGATGGTAGATGGAATTTGTCTACAATTGTTGGGTTTGTTCTGTGCTGCCTCATTTTGAAACTCAGTGGCATTGTGACTCAGATCACATCCCGGGGCGTATTGATTGGATGTTCATGAAAATGGTAGAGTTGAGATGTGAGAGTAGCTGCATTGTGGCTCATTGATTGCGTATTGATTGGATGTTCATGAAATTGGTAGAGTTGAGATGTGAGAATAGCATTGGAACATGTATCCTGATGTTGTTTTGTTAAGAGCATTGTGGTCCAACAAGTTGTGGACAATGCACTTGTAGCCATTGAGTGGTTACAAATTCTAAATGGGTCTTATAAATAACAGAGGGACTGTTTGATCAGCTGCAGATGTGTAATAGGTTGATGAAGTTTGGATTCCTTGACATTCAGGAACCTTTACTTGTTCTCAACCAAAAAGTGGTGTTTGTAGATATTAAAGAGACATTTTTTGAACCCTGCAATATTCATAATCTATTTGTTAGTCATTTATAAATATAGCAACTAAAACACAGTCTTTATTATTGTTGTCTAGTTGGATTCTTGTATGTGTTTGGTGATACTTTGCAATGCCTCCCATACTTAAGTCTTCATATATTCATAAAGGTTTAGGCTTTAGAGAACTTAGGAAACATTTGTTCTTTATTGCAAAATTGTGTCATAGATTGGTTTGGCATATGTTAGTATTTATTTGTTTTTAATACATTTTGTTGTTGATTTTAACATATTTTTTTGGGTAGGCTGATATAGTATATACTATATAGTATGGACGGTTCTCGTGACTGGTGTTAACTATACACAATCAGTAATCTATCCTTCTTTTCTTTTTTTCCAGTGGTTTGTGTTATACTTATCCATAAATGTTGAAAGAATGCTAAATTCCAATGTCAAGGGATATACATTGTGAGATTTTCTAATTGATGGGTTCAATTCACACAAATGTCTGTCCACTTTCACTACTACAAGAGATAGTATAGTAGTACTAACTTGATTGAGAGGACATTTCCAATTTATTCCAAACTTTCTCTACCACTTTTGTGTATAACTTGCTCACTTTGTCGGAAGAAAATTAACATAGTTATTGGCAAAGTATTATAGTGCCCCAATTTATCTAGCCAAAAGCAAATTTATAGCAGTTTTCTGCCATTTTCACCGGGTACTGGCTGGCAGACGGATCGTGAGGCTTTATGCTTGTCATCTAGTGGCTCCTGTGTGAATAGTAAGTTCAAGATACACATATCAGAAAGTTACCATAGTCTAGTGGTCCTCTAACCTATAGAAATGCTAAAGATTCTTTTGAAAGAGTTATTGTTCTTTAACTTGGATAGCATTTGAAAGCACCACATCCTTCCCCTTACTTATGTTGTCTGTTTTGATCATTTCAGATATATCTTTTCTTTTTAAGTTCTTCATTTTTTTTTTGTGCTGCAAGTAATTTCATGGGTTTGCAAACTTTGTTGCACATGCTTCCAAGTTAGATGGCTGCTGATGGGCAGTGTTTGCCAAAAAAAATTTACTGGTGTCCCTTTAATTACATGGTTGGTACATTCTAGATGAGACAAAATAGAAGAAGGTGGGGTGGAAACAGGGAGAAGGTGGGGTGGAAATAGAAGAAAAAAAGGGTTTGTTTCCATATTTCTGAAACTACTTTGGAAATGTAATATTCAAAGAATTGTCACTAAAAGTTCATTGATTTCTCTTTGTAACTTTGTACTTATATTTCATCATTAACTGTGTAAGTTTGACTAAAAGAAAAGAAATAATGGTATAAACTTTTCAAATTTGACTAACAAAAGAAACAATGGTATCTCTATCCGATCTACAGAGAATTTATACCTGCTAGATTTGTTTATGCCCCGTTCCCAAAACTTTTACTTTTGATTAGGAATATGGGAATCTGAAAAACATAAATTGGAATGCAGTGATTTAGAATCTAAGTACATAAAAGTCAACTTATAAATTATGTGCTAAGACTTTTTTTGCAAAAAATTACTTCTTCCGTTTTAAAATGATTATTGTTTTTTGCACACAAATTAAGAAATACAATGATGTTGTCATAAGACATAACATTTTATAAAATTAACCTTATTAATGTATTGAAAGTAGTGTAGAGAGTAAAAAGTAAAGAACACAATTGAAAAAATAATAATCATTACTATATTGAAAAGTAAAAATGACAGTCAATTTAAAACAAAATTTATTTGTTAAAATGATAATTATTTTGAAACAGAGAGAGTATTTAGAATTGTCAAAGCAATCTATTTTGAGTCTAAGTGTGGCACTTTTCTCTTATTATTATTTTACATAAAGAATTTTTTGTTAGTTTTTTGTTTAAATGTCACTTGAAAATTATACAATTTTAACATTGGAGTTTAATATATTGGAAGACCTTATTTTCAAGGGTTAAATATGTCTGTGAACCTCCTTGTAAGAACAAGATTTAGTTTTGCATCTAATTTTTAGTTTTAATGATAACATTGCATGTGTGATTAGATAAAATTTTAGTATCCTAATGGTTTGTTTAGTGTGTAGCTTTTGCTAACAGATTCTGACTCTGAAGAATTGACGTGTGAACTCATCATATTTTGGACTCAACGCACTAAGAGATACAAGTTCGTGTTTTATAGCTTATAATGCTTCTAAAACAACGGTCTTGTTGAACGTTTGTTTTGAAGCTTCTGATTGTGACTCTGATGGTTGAGCTTATAATGAGTTCTTAACCTCCGAAGATTCCAAGCTCCATTGCTCCATGTTTTGAAGATTCTGAAGACAAGGTTCTGTTGAACGAGTTTTGAAGATTCTGAAGAGCAACGGTTCTGAAAATCAACTTTTAAAGACAAGATTCTGTTGAACGAAGTTCTGAAAATTCTGAAGAAAAGGCTCTGAAGACAAGGCTCTGAAGACCAAGTGCTGAAGACTCTAAAGACAAGGTTCTACTGAACAACTTGTGAAGACTCTAAAGATATAGTTCTGAAGACAATGTTTTGATCCTTCTAAACATGCTTCAACTCTTACATTATATGAAGCCTCTGAAGATTAGAAGATAAGATAAAAAAAAGGATTTCTGCGTGAGAAATCGTACAAGTTCACTTCCTTCCACTACGCTAGTTTTATGGTGAAAGAACATTACTATTGGTACGATGTTGTCTACCACTCTCACTAACTGTTATGCAAGAAGACAAGCTGGAATTTTTGTATTCCTATTATACCCTCTAACCGAAATCTTTTTAGCTATAAAAGGAAGACTTAGAAGAATTGGAAAACAACTTTTGCATTGAATCATTTTGCTGAAATGCTGTTGAACTTTTATTGTAAATCTTTTGTAAAGTTTGTAAAAGCAAGAAACTTTTGTTCATCAACTTGTTAGAAAGGAATTGTTGTTTGTTAGCTTGCTCTTAACACTTCTATGTTATTATATGTACTTCGATCTTGTGTAATCTACTTTCCAAAAGCAACTTTGCAAACACACAACTTGTATTTTAATTGTGAGTTGATAGCTCATTGAGAGACTAGGATATAACCATGATTCTCAAGAAGATATTGACAGTTTATCTTTGTGGTTGTAAATATTGACGAATAGTCTTTGTTTGGATTTTGTAATCAGTTTGGTTATAGTGGATTAAGTCCTTGTTGAGAAAGGAAAAATTATCTTAGCGGGTGGACTAGATTAACTTCGTTAATAGTGAACCAGGATAAAAATAATTGTGTTTATTTATTTTTATTTTTTTGTTAGATTTGTTAATTGAGTTTCGAAAAGTTTTATTCTTTGAAATTCAATTCAAACCCTCATTTCTTGTGTTTCTTGCACCTTCAATTGGCATCAGAACTTCAGTTCTGGTATTGATTGTTATCAAACACTAATCGTGTATGATAAAGATCCAGACAGTTTAGAAACACAATGGCTGAAATCCCTCCACCAGTTGCTCAATATGTTGAAAGAGATCACTATAGTGTTAAACCTCCAATATTTGATGAAGAAACGTTTGACTACTGGAAGGACAAAATTGAGAGCTTCTTTCTCGGTCACGACGTAGATCTCTGGAATATGGTAGTTGATGGCTACACATATCCAATAGATGCTAGTGGTAATCTTGTTGAAAGAAGAGTGATGACAAAGCAAAAAAAGAAAGAATATAAGAATCATCACAAAGTAAGAACCATCTTGCTGAATGCTACCATATTAATATCTTGTTAAGCATTCTTACAGTCTTGGTCATATTATCAAGTTGTGAATTGAGCAAAAGAACTTCACCCGTCATACTAGAGGTGGTGGACAGGTGCTCCACTTTTTCATCCTCTAGAACAGATATGATAGACAGGTGCTCCACTTTTTTAGTCTACAGTTGAGCAATAGTCTTCTTTATATTTTCTTCTAATTTTCCCACCTATTGACTTTTGAGGCACAACTACTTGTAAGAAGCAGCAAGTTCTTCAAAGGTTAGTTCTTCACAATCTGGGTCTTCATCAGAGTCATAAATTCCAGTCAAGGCAGTGACCTGTTTGGCCCGTTCCTCTTCATTACCACTTTCAAAATCTTCCTCTGACCATGACACATACATGTCTTTATTTTACTTATTAATATAAGTATCCAGAGCTAGCATTTGTGGCATTTGAGTAATATTGCAAATTGGCTGTGGATCTGAGCCCAGCTTTGTTAACATGTATGAAATTCACTCAGAAGCCTGATCAAACTGACCTTGTTGATGTGGAACAACAGTTGTCAATAACGAAAAAAGACTGATAAGTAGAGGAGATTGAAACTCAGAAAGATCATAAACCATTAATTCAATGACATAATTTTCTAGCTTGTATACCCCTAACTGATTCTCAAACAAAACAAAAAACTAATCCCTAACAAATCCCCAACTAATTTTCTCAATCCTAACTAACAACTAACA